CCGCCAACTCTTGGGCTACTCTTTTACCAACGAATAGTGGGATTGACCGTAACTTTATAACGCCCCCACGGTTGAAAGGGCGAGCATGTTTGGTGGGATGGGGATGCGAACCCGCGACCCGCAGATTGCGAGTCGAGCGTCCTAACCACCTGGCCATGCCAGGCCTAACGTACTCATAATAGGCATTCAATAATGTTCACCGTCCATGAGAAAATGGATTTTTATTGAAATTTTAGTTTAAAAGGGAACTATCATCACAGCACTACATCACAGAGAAGATTTTATTGAAGTGCCCACCAGTGGCACAACGGTATGTCTGCGGAATTACAACGTTAGAAACCGGGTTTCGATACCTGTGGTGAGAAGAGTACAGGTAGCCCATTGTGTAGCTTTGTGCTTAACTTCAAACAAGCAAACAAATTTATTGAAGTATTTCTTTGTAGACGCAGTGATCAATGAAAGTGCCTTGCTTTTCTGTTTCAACACTCATGAGATTTTCACTAAAGAAAAACACTATTTTTTTTATATTTGAAACTTACTACTTTTTTATAATTTCTATTGGTTAAATCTGAAACTTACTCCTTTTTTGGTTGTAATTTTTTATTGGTTAAATCTGAAACACATCAATTTTATAGAAATTTCAATTGTTTTATTTATTGCTCAGCTATAAAAATTCTGTTTAGTTATAAAAATATTACCCAGTTATGATTGGTGATGATCGATACGATAGATTCCGAGATCCGAGTTTTGGACATTATAATAAGATATTAGACTAGAAAGATAATAAAAGATAATTTAAGCATGCTGATAGATAATGTGATACGCCTCTTTTGTTTGTTTGTTTAATTACAGTTCCATATTATGTTTGAATATTTGAATAACATGTTAATTATTACGTCCTGATATTAGTATACATATGATAACACAGTGTCTAAAGTTGTCATTTAGTTTAGAATGTATAAAATAACCGTCTATTTTTTCTGGTCGCTGTTACCTTAAGAACATAAAAACATGTGCCTTTTTAAAGGTGACTTAAGTAAGCCGAGTGGTAGGAATAATGATATTCATGATAGTATTTGTTAAGAATAGCAGTTAACCTTATCTTGACTCGCCGTAGAGTTAATTTTTCGCACTAGGGTTTGGGATTGGCTGTTTATCACTTTCGAGTGGATTATATAAAGGCACAAATGTAGAGGCATGTAAGTAGCCACATAATTTAAGTGTTTGCTAGAAACTAATCTGGCATCTTCTATATAAGGTAAAAATAATAACAATAATTTACACTTCAATACGTTGCTTGATAAAAATGTTTTATGTACATTGCTATATTGCCCTAAATTAAACTGAAACATTAGATACCTTCTTCGTCATAGAGCCATGTATGTGTGTGTGTGAGTAGTAGACAATTAACGTTTTCCCGTATTTATAAATAATGGCGATTTTTTTATTCCATTAATTTAATTAAATCGGTACAAATTGTGGGTTAATTGCTATATATTTTGTTTTCAAACATCCAAAATAATTTAAACAATTATAAATACATACAGAGCATTTATTGTGCTTTGGTGACTTAATATTATGTTGAGTTAGATATAATCTACATTGTTTAAACGTTTTGCACTTCTTAAGATATTGTTGATATTAAGCGCGAAAAACATCACTAACAATGAGTGTACTCAACTGATGAATTGTAACAAACCTCATCATAATGAGTTTAAAGTGCTTCGATTGCTTTATATTTTGATTTGTATTGTAAAATATAATTCATTATAAGCTTAACTCAGTTTATGAGGGCTTATAAAGCTAAAAATCGGGATTCTATACCGGCAGTTGGCAGAGTACAGAGAGCTCATCGTGTAGCTTTGTATCTAATAACAAACAAACAGTTTATTAACTGGGGTGCATTTACTTGTGTTCAGAAGCTATCCATATATTTATCTAAGAAAATAAAATCCACTGGAAAAAAACATTTCATATCGGTTTACCACATATTTCTCTTGCATACTTATAGATCTTATATATATATACGGCCCGGCATGGCCAGGTGGTTAGGGAGCTCAATTCGCAATCTGCGGGTCACGGGTTCGAATTCCCGTCCCACCAAACATGCTCGCCTTTTCAGCCGTGGGGGGCGTTATAACGTGATGGTCAATCCCACTATTCGTTGGTAAAAGAGTAGCCCAAGAGTTGGCGGTGGGTGGTGATGACTAGCTGCCTTCCCTCTAGTCTTACACTACTAAATTAGGGACGGCTAGCGCAGATAGCCCTCGTGTAGCTTTGCGCGAAATCCGTAACAAACATACATATATATATATATATATCTTTCACACTTCGATGTCTTCTGCCAAAGTTTTTCTTTTCTTGAAAAATAACTCAGTATCATTGGTTGTCGGTAGCTTTAGAAAATGCTTGTAAAAGTATTCTTATTCTTCGATTTGTGATGGGGAATTACTGGTAAACAGAAATAGAATTACTGGTTATTCTACTCAGTTAAATAATTGCGAAATTTTCTGTGTAAAATACAATTAAAAATTAATAAGGTATGTAAAATTATACTTAAAAGCAATGCCAAAAATCGATATGTAATTACTTAGCTGTTCAAGTTTCACCGCCCTATTGTGTGAGAACGAACAGATGTTTTGGCGGATTTTGCACGTTCTACTCACACTGTAAAGATATTACCCTCATTTCATATTTAGGCTTGATCATGTGTTGATTTGCTATTTTCGATCATTATTTCCGTATAATGATGTTTAATGTCACCTACTGGTGTGGTGTGGAAATTTTTGACGTAAATGAAGGATATTAGTTAGCGTTTTTTGTGTTTGTTTGTTTTTTATATTCGCGCAAAGTTGCTCCAGACCTATTTGCGCTAGTTTTCCCTAATTTTAAAGTGATAGACTTGAGGGAATGTAGCAAGTCAACAACATCTATCGCACAACTCTTGGATACTCTCTTCTGACCGAATAGTGAGATTTGACCGTTATCCTTATAACGCACTCATAGCCCCTTAGTGTGGAGTATTCTTTTATTTATTATATTTTTTTGTAGTAAGAAGACTTGAACATTGGTTGCTTTGTTCCACACTCCAGCACTCTAACCACTGGGCTACGATTAGCCAGGCTATCAGAACTTTACAAACACAGATGTATCCATAACGCTATGAGCTCACTGTCAAATTACTAATCCTCACGCTATATATGCCTAACATGGCTTGGAAGGTTAGTTATACAAAAAAAGGATCGCTATCCACACAACATGACATGATTTAGTCTTAAAATTGGCCACACAGTTCTTTTAGGCTTTAGTTGAGATGACCAGAATTGTCAGTAGCGCCATTAAGACCCTGTACTGTTCTCATATGAGCTAAGGGTTATATTTTAATGAGTTTGTGTCTGGAAAACCATCATCTCGGTGACGATTAAGTTATGGTTTGAGGGTCCATCAATGTAGATGTACTATGTTTCTGAGGGAACCAGTTTTATAACTTATTTCTAGTGAATTACCAGATTTTATTTGTCCTTATGTACAGTAATGGACGATTTCATACTGACTGTTCAGCAAGACATTCTAACCTAATCCCAGGAACACCTCCAAAACCTTTTTGGCGGTAGTGTGCGTCAGTTCACTACGCAACGTCAAGGAATTATCGACTGATCAAATGTAAATCTCATACATTTAGAGACTGTATCAAAGCTGGGGATGGGTTGAGGGAGTGAGGGCATTTCTGGGTGTGTGTGTATGTGTTTTTAACAAATGTAGCTTTGGGTTCTTAGAAATGATGATTTAGTCAGACATTAACACTTTGAGTTTGAGGGTACTCACATTCCACTTATTGATTGGAGAACAATGTATCTATAAATTCTTGCTCCTTTAATATTTTCGAATACTTCATGTTATTTTACTAATACCAGTTATCTAGGAGTTTAATCACATAACGTTATGCGTTTAATCTTATTTTGATTGTTTATTTATCTATAATTGGCACTATTCATATAGATATTTATTTCTATTAGCAATATTAATCATGATGTTTGATCTCATTGGCTTTCCTTAATCAAATAATTCAACATATTATTTTTATTAGTCTAGAAATGCCATTTTACAGCTACTGTTTGTTGCAACATTTGGTTGATTTTATTATTACAAATAATCTGATTGAGCAGGCTATATGTAATCTTAATACGATTAATTTAAAACAATGATTTATACGATGTAAGAAATGTAAAGGTTTGTTCCCAAATTTCAGAGTTTTGAAAACTTCTACTATATCATTTTTTTATATATTTTGGGGATCACATAGATTCGTATAAAGTAAACAAATTTTTACGAAAATTTCTGAGACTTATTTCTTTATTTAATTATCACTCCTTTAAAAAAAATGACGACATTATTTTCAGACTTTTTAATGCTTTTCTACGTCTTGAATTTCTTGACATGACATTATTTTCAGACTTGTTAATGTTTGTCTACGGCTTGAATTTCTCGAATATGTTTTCTATTCAGAAGGCCCGGCATAGCCAGGTGGTTAAGGCGCTCGACTCGCAATATGCGGGCTCGAATATCCGTCACACCAAATATGCTCGCCCTTTCAGCCGTGGGAGCGTTATAATGTGACAGTCAATCCCACTATTCGTTGGTAAAATAGTAGCCCAAGAGTTGGCGGTGGGTGGTGATGACTAGCTGCCTTCCTTCTAGTCTTACAGTGCTAGATTAGGGACGGCTAGCGCAGATAGTCCTCGTGTAGCTTTGCGCGAAATATATAACAAACAAACAATCTATTCAAAAACGTCATGAAACAGGAAGTTTCTTTCAGCGTTCAGCGTTTACACCGTAAGCAATCCGGCAAATAACATCTACTGTGTGCTAATAAAAATTTATTTATTATATTGTTTTTTTTTCTTACTTATTTGGTATTTCAGTTTTTAAGGTTTAAAATGATTAATGAGTATGTAAAAACATGAAATTTTAATTGAGTATGTTAAAAATTTCACCACCAGTACTTGTATGAGATTTTTATTAAATAGCATACAGCAAATGTGTCACGTTATCAAGAAAGTATAGTTCTCAGTGACATTCAACAATCACCAGACATCTATATGGTGTTAAGTATAACATTTAGCTGCGTGTAAAGAACGAACAAAATATTCAGAAGGGAGAATTCACCAGTTTCAATAGCCAGAACAACAAGCTCATTTCAGTTCACATAACTTCGAGTTTTGTCAAGTACTTTTCTCATCTTCCCCAGCTCTGGAAGAGGCCCTGTCTCTGACACCGACAGTTAGTCCCCCACAGATTGCATCGACAGGAGGAGCCACCACAACAGGAGTTTGGTCGAATGTCACAACTTCTTCCTCGGCGAATACATGTTCTCCTACAGATAAAAAATAAAAACAAAACACACATAGGATGTTATTTTAAATTACGTTTCGTAATTTCCATACGATTTATACTACATTTGTTTACCTCAACTAATTTGCACCAATAAGAGTGTCGCAAATTCATATTCGTCGCACATACATCTATGTAACTTTATGCTCTTGCTATGCGTACCTACATGATTGAACGAATATATTACATTTGCCCCAGAAAATATTCCCTAAGTGTTATCGTGTAGAATTATTTTGTGACTGAGGTACAGTTTAAGGTTTAAAGTAGTTATATTCTGTATTCTTCTGATTGATGAGGACTATCAAAATATGTCAGTTAGGTGACGCAATACCATTTTGTTTGTTTTATTGTAGTTAAGCACGAAGCTATCTGTGCTCTGCCCACCACGGGTATCGGTTTCTAACGTTGTAAGTCCGCAGACATAACGCTATGCTATTGGGGTGGGGGCGCAATGCCAACCTTAAGATTGTCTTCTCTATTATGTTTTTGTTTTGAAACTGGTTCAGTATTATAATACAATTTGTTCTGATCTTCTTTTAAATTATGAGATATGAAATGTAATATTTGGAATAATGTTTCACACACATTGTATATATATATATAAACTCGAGTATCCGTCCGTTGGAAGGGTGAACTAAAAACTCGTTTGTAACATTAAAAGGGCAATAAAAATACATAAAGATACCAATACTGAAAAGAAAGACATTTTGTTTTCAAGAATTCTATCAATATGATATTAGATGGGGGGGTCAACCCCCTCAACTAATGTCATCCTGTATCACAGTGTCAAGATTGATCAAGAAATGTGGAAACGTATAAGGAGCAGATGCATACACACACATTGACGTTTATGTATATAGATTATGCATTTGTTTGTGCAGTATCTTATTTATCTATTGAAATAGAGTGGAGGTTGTTGTTTTATTAAATAGAACAACGGGGTGGATTCTAACTATATTTTTTCTATATTCGACGTTAAAGGGTAACCCACAACTCAGGATGTTGTGTGTTTTGCCCCTTTAAAAATTGTATTTTATCGCTGCTGCCCTTTTGTCTTCTTTCTGAGATTTGAAGGATTTCTAGAGAAGCGAAATGTCCTCCAACGCCATTAAATGTTATTTTCGGAGATGTCTTCCTCTAAATCTTTGTATTTTGTATTATTTTACAACTGGTATAACATTATTGTTATTTTTTATGCGCAGTTCTAGTTTTATTGAAACTGTTTTATAATATAAGGGGACTGGTCGCGTAATAACTATTCTTATATATATATATTGTATCCGTATTTTCTTTCAAATCTGTACTCTGATCCAAATAGCAAACCACAAACTTAGCGTAAAAATATTTTCGATAACGATAACGATAAGTAAAATAAATATCATGTTTGTTCTCTTAGAACTAAATTAAAAACACTCAGATAATGACTGTGATTTAAGTTTCTAAGGATCAGTTGAATAACATGGCTTTCACTGTCACAAATTTCCACACGTGTTGTAGATGTGTCTGCTTTAATATGAAAATAAACGTATCAAAAGGAACGAAATATTCAGGAAGATAAAGGTTTACTTACTTGTACGCTAAAGGCAAGATTTCCAGCAATTTCTCTCGGTATTTCTCAAGCTGTTCGTCTAATAGAATTAAGATAAAATTAATCAAATGGGTGCAGTTTGAGGGAAAATATAAAACAACAACAATGAATTAAGCCTCATGATCAAAAATGTGAAGATGAAAGAAAGAGACTTAAAGCATCTTTCCGCTGGATGACACGAAGTAATAGCACGATATAATATATTTTGTATCGATATCTAATCCTTCCTTTTATCGCTTGGGTAAATTAAATTCTCCAGCGCCTAGCAAGAGAAATTCCTTTATTGACCTAGCTGATAATGTGTTTCTATGATAATATTTTCACATGTTTATGACCAAGATGTAAAGAAAAAAATGTGGAGATTTACAAACTTGCGAAATTTCTAATTGTTTTGCAACTTGTTGGTGCATTATAAATATTTTTTTAATACTTTATGTTATACGAATAAGAAACCCATAATAAATATATCAGAAGGTTTCGAGACTGTAAAAGTACATAATCAATGAACTTCTGTTCTCAACATCTCTAATAATTCTTCATATACCTTTTCCCTTTGAGATTCATTTCTTCTTCCTGTTTAATTTCCAAATTATCCAATTTGTAAAGAAATACATTGAATCAACTATAAGTTATATTTTATTCCCTTTGCTTTTTATACATTCACTATAGTAGTGCCATCTATTAGGTTATTTATATTAATGAGGTTGACTACCTCTCCTTCCCTTGGGAATAATTTACCTAGAATATATCAAATGAACCCGGAAGATGATTTTTAAATTTTCTTGTAAAGCTAAATATCGAACACCAAATTACATGACATATTTATTTTACATGTAACCGTAAACTACAACAAGAACTATTATTTGTTAGATTCTATTAAGACTTAACATAGCGGTATGTCTGCGGACTTACAACGCTAGAAATCTGGTTTCGATACCCGTGGTGGGCAGAGCACAGATAGCCCATTGTGTGGCTTTGTGCTTAACTTCAAAACAAGTACAAACAAGTATTCCAAACTTAAGTGTTTCTTTCCAGTACGTAGACATATGGTATCTCTCCAAACTTAAGTGTTTCTTTCCAGTACGTAGACATATAGTATCTTTCCAAACTTAAAGTGTTTCTTTCCAGTACGTAGACATATGGTATCTCTCCAAACTTAAGTGTTTCTTTCCAGTACGTAGACATATGGTATCTTTCC